TGAAAATCCTAACAGTTCAGAATAATGAAAAATTATCTACATACAATAAATATATTTAAGATGCAAATAAGGAAAGGACTTTTGATCAAGGTATAACAAACCTTTAGTTTTTTGCATGACTTTTAATGTTGAACCATATTCGTTTGATTGCCCTTTTGCTCCCAATTTAGCTAAAGAGTCTGCCACACTATTAGTCTCACCGTACATATGTATGATCTGATAATTCCTTCGTGAGATTAGTGTTTTTATTTTTGCTAATATGGCATGATAATCTTATTATGTTCATTCATATATTGTATCGTACTTCTAAAAAAAATAGTCCATATTGAATTCTAAAATTTATACTAAAATTAGTACAATTTTGAAACTCAATATGAACTATTTTTTTGAGACAGAATTAACATTTCTTTAATGTTTCTTGCCATTATATTTATTTTTCATGGATTAAAGAGAAAAAAAAGATTATGATTGCCTTTCCTCTTCAAAAGAAACTTTTTGTTATTTGTGATATTGGGATATGGTGAAGTTTATATTTACTTTCAACCTTATTGTTCAACAATTATGTCAATATGGATTTTATTTTCCTTGATTATTTACGAATGTTGATTGTTTTGGGCTTTGCAGTGAAAATTAGGTTTTTAAATTTTCGTTTTGGTTAAGTACCTAGCAAGCATCAATAAATCTAAGGTTTCTATGGTTGATTATTTTAGTTTTAAAACTCTTAGGGAAAAACCATCTTCTAAGAGAACCTCAAATTTCTTCATCTGAATTAACAAATTTTGTTTTACGAATTGATTTTCTGCATGATAAAAATAAATAAAACTTACGAATTTAGGATTTTGTAGCTGCTAATAATATGCTTGAAAGAGTGAATTATGAATCTATATCTACTGATATTATTTTCTTAATTAACAAGCATTGAACCCAAATATTGTTTAGGTTGACATCTCTCCATTTTTTGAAGGTTTTAATTTTTACCCAAAAAAATTAATTAAAAATTGTTCGTTTGCGATTCATCCATCAATCAAATAATAAAAATTGGATACACAAAATCCAACTTAAGAGTTTGTGCATCCTTAGTTTGATTTTCTAAGGGGTTTAAAATGGTCTGCGTTAATATCCAATCTCTTTTATTTACATCAAATTCAGAGTTAATTTTTTTTATTAAATATATATTTATTGACAGTTGTCCGTGAAAAGATCAAAGATGAGATTAATTATGTACAACTATTACACGGGTCTAATGTACTTCGGTGCTTGTGCCCTGTAACATATTACATCGTTTACACTCACGTAGATGTATTTCTAGAAAATTTTGCTCTGATTGGTTACATGAATCTTCTATAAAGTTAAATTCAAAAATATACAGAAAAGTCAAACTTTTGTATCCTGGTAGAAATCAAACTTATGAATACATCAATCTATGTTTTCCTCATTAATGATGGTCTATAGTTATTACCAAATATATTGGCATATCCCCTTTATCTCTATATTAATTATTCAATTTCACTTTTTAAAAGTTTAAAATAAATCGCATATAATGTGTATAGCCATAAGTGGGCGTTTGATTTAGGTAAGTGGTTTCTTGGGAACTACACTTAATGGAATGCAACTTATGTATATACCTATTAGACTGCTAGAATATGAAGACGTTGTCCTAATCTAGCTGTGAACTTAATCAGCGACCGGGTTATGTTGTGAATCAGGCAAATAAACCTTAAATGGCAAAGCAAACGACCAATGAAAATTGTTTTCTTCTCATGTTGAATGTGATTCTCTTATCTAATGGCGTAATTGCCAATCGTGGAATAAAAAACTATATCTCCAGCATGTGACCCATGGTGTAAAGTCACAGATATCGAATGTAATTCACAATTATAATCAAGATTTAAAAATAAAATATCAATAACCAATTTTACTTCAAGTCTTCAAGTTCGACGATGATCCTTTTTTTCCCCGTTTTAGGGTCCTCAATAATATCACCAACAACTTTCACTACACCATTGATATCCACTTTCCAAAATATGTTCGAGTAAAAGAATATTAAAAACAAATCGAGTATAATTTTCTAATATAATAGAGTTTGAAGGTTTGTTTACCTATTACGTAGTCTTGGTCATTTTTGCAATCATTGATATTAGCAAAGGATACAAAATCGAACATCTTTGGGATATCACGTTCATTAACTAGCTTTAGGGTCGCATTCCAGTAAAAGATAACTTTACACTAGTGTTTGGCATGCCTATATCAGCCATAATTACCAGCAACACCGTAGTTTGATACGGTCATAGTTTCCCCTTCATTATCCAGAAGTTGGTCAGTGAACATGTCGAGCAATGATTGTTTCACCGTACCCTATATTAAAACCCTCTAAAAGGTAAAAAAAAAAAAGAAAAAAAAAAGAAAAAATCATCAATAATTAACCAAATGCGCAAATAACATAAATAAAATTTAGCATAAAATATATAACGGAGTTATTTTGCAGAGTTAGTATTCTATATACCTTAGAATCAACATACACTATTTCGATGGTATTATAGTCGTGTTGTTGCCAAACCCTCATCAAACGCACCGTAATAGGTAGATTCTTCTCCTTTGCCTTAATGTCGGTTACGAATGAGTTAGTTGGAGCCATGAGTGGACGATATATTATAAGAACACTGCTTGTTAATGGAGTTTTTTACCCAAATAATTTTCAATGGAAGGACCTGGACAAAAATATATGTCCCGGAGTGGGGTGGACAAATCTAGTTGTCTCGGATTTGCCAAATCCGAATCTATCCATTTTGTGTTGATATAAATGAACATAAGTACAAACAAAAATTAATAATTGGAAAGAGGTAAATATCGTAATTGAACATATCTTAGAAACTAGAATATATCATTCAACCAAGAACAAAATTTTTGTTTGAAAAACTACAAAATCGAACAGAACGGACGCAATTTAGTTTTTAAAAGCCATGTATATAAATAAATATAGTAAAGTGTGCTTCATGAAAATTGATACAAATTATTAGTAATTGTAAAAGTGGGACATCATATGAACATGATTTGTTATTGGCTAGCAAACCATGTATTGGGATAGGGTTAATTTTTAGTTATTAAAAGAACAAAACACACTTTGGACCATAAACTATAGGGGGCCAGAACTTCTGGTTACCATTAATTTTTGACTGACAAAATTAGTCACCATCTTTTTGTTTATTCATCAACATTGATCCATTTAAATGGATTTTACAAAAATTAACGGTCAAACTCCTTACTCCATTAATTCATTATTCTTTATTAATTTTTTTCAGACTGTGGGCTCAATTATGTTTGAGTTCAAAAAAAAAGGAAGAGAAAAAAAGAAAAAAAAGTGAAGAAATGCATCCTCAAGTCCAACATATTAGTGCTCTAACCACTGTCCTCCGCCACCACTCCACCTCGGCATCTAAAGCCTCTTCTCCACCATTGATTCAATCTAAACCACCATCGATTAAATCTAATTTAACACGACGATACTCTTACCTTGTACCTCGCCAATTCCAAAACTGTAAAACCCCTAATTTCGATTGTCCTTCTGATTTCAATAAATTACGAGACATCCTCACCGATTATGAAGTCCAGACCTTGAATTTGCGTGCCTTTATTCTTCCTCAAAATATTTAATTTTGATTTTCTAGTGTCTGTCGGCAACGACCGGTTCTAAATCGCTATGTTATTAGAATTTCCATGTGGGTTTTTGAAGGGTAGTGAAAAGTTTAGATTAGTTCTCTATAATTTTGCGTGCATGTGTATATATATAGCTGGGTGAACTTTTTTATTTTATTATTATTTCTTTTTAGGTGGGGGGACTTCATTTACTTTATGGGGTGTTCGTTGATTTTATAATTTAGAGTAAAATGATTGGATTGATGCTCGAAGGAAAAGCCAGCGGCCTTTGCGAAAATTTCGCCGGACCAATTTGCGGTTAAAGGGGGTTTTTTTTCTCTCTTTTGTTCTCTTTTTTTTTAAGTCAAACATAAGTATGCCCCACAGCCTAAAAAATAATAAAAAAATAAACAATTTACGGATTAAGAAGTTTGACCATTAACTTTTGCAAAATTCCGTTAAATGGATCAATAAATGAAAAGATGATGACTAATTTTGTCAGTCAATAATTAATCGTTTTCAGAAGTTGTGACCCCCCATAGTTTAAGGACTAAAAGTGCATTTTGTCCTTATAAAAAAGTGAATATAACATGCAGATTAGATTTTGCAAGTTATGTTTTAGGAAAAAAAAATTACACAGTATAAACATAACTTACAAATCATATTTTGCAAGCCATGTTTTGAGATAATTTACACAAGCGAACATAACATGCAAATCAGATTTTGCATGTCATGTTTTGAGAGAATTTACACAATTTAGACATAACTTGCAAATTATATTGTTCAAACCATATTTTGATAAAATTTACACAAGTGAACATAGCTTGCAAATTTGATTTTGCAAGCCACATTTTGGGAGAATTTACACAAATGAAACATAACTTACAAATCATATTTTGCAAGCCATGTTTTGAGGTAATTTACACAAGTGAACATAACTTGTAAATTAGATTTTACAACATGTTTTGGGATAATTTACACAAGTGAACATAACTTACAAATTACATTTTTCAAGTCATGTTTTGGCAGAATTTACACAATTAAAACATAACTTGCAAATTATATTTTGCAAGCCATGTTTTGACATAATTTACACAAGTGAACATAACATGCAAAATTAGATTTTGCAAGCTACGTTTTGGAAGAATTTACACAATTTAAATGTAACTTGCAAAATATATTTTGTAAGCCATGTTTGATATAATTTATAGAAGTGAACATAACTTGCAAACTAAATTATGCAAGTCATGTTTTGAGAAAGTTTACACAATATAAATAAAAGAATTAGTGGTCATATCGATCGTAGTCGGTGGGGGTAGGAAAAACGGACGGATAGGTTTTTCTTCTTGCTGACACCCCTTGCCTCTATGAAAATACAGTCACCGTCAGAATTGGCGAATCCAGCGGATTCGCCATTGGAATCCGCAAATTCACCATCGGAATCCACTCAGAGAAAGATTGAAGGTAAAACCTCGGTGATGGTTTTGAGGATATCTGATTTCGAGAAAGCTTGGAATGTCGAAGAGTCAAATGCCTCTGTGGTTATATTTGTTAACTCCTGTCACATCTTCAAATGAGCAGACTTGTTGATTGTGATCGTATTGACAAATTAGTGATCCTTGGAAGAAAGATTTGCTTTGTTGCTTCTAGAAGTTCAGAAACTCTAGATGAATTGGCAAAACTTCTAAGAACTGAGTTTAAAGTGAACCATGGTATGACTACTTGAAGCAGTACAAGTTGTTCAACAAAATTTGATTAATTTGCTGAGGCAGTACGAAAATATTCCTGAATCGGTCCAAGAGGAAGATCTCCCTTTTTTTCAATCTATCATTGTTGGTTTTGACAGAATAGGACAGGCCCCTCAGATATTCTTGTTAACATCGAAGCTCCTTGAAGCGAATCCCTTGAAGGATATCCAAGAAGACCAGTTTCTAAATGAATAGAAACAGATACTTGTGCCATTGGAACTGGTTGTGAGGCTTTTGAGTCATTTTGGACTTCCAATTTTCTTCCAAAGAAGAAGAAGATAGATAAAGATCAAGTTTGAGAGTGGTTTTATGTTGAGGAGGAGTGGAAGGAGTTGAAGGAGTTTGTAGATGAGGAGAGTTCTATCACCAATCCATGTCTTTGCTTGACTGTTGAGGAAGCTATTTATAGGTGTAAGAGGTGTGTTTGCTACTCTAGTAGCCGTGATGAAACTTCAGGAGGTTATGTAGCAACATATGTGATGAGTACGGGACAGAGGTTTCTCGTCCAAAAGGAGTGGATAAACACTTATTTGGAGAAAGAGAATATGTTGCTTCCCCTAATGGACCCCCCTCGGGCAAGAGACAAAGCAAAAATTGACAAAGACTTTCACAGAGATCCTTGTCAGTAAAGTATCAGGGCTGAACCGAGATAGCTGTTAACTGGTCACTAATTTTCTGGATTTTAATCCTCCTTTAGACCGAAAGCAAAACTCTTGCATGTGGGATCTTTCAAATGGTAAAAGAAATTGTCTAGTACAACTGCTGTTATTTATGCATGAGAATGGAATTTTTTGAGGCTTTTGCTGCCAATGGGATGTGTGGTGGCAACAGTTTTGGAGTCACTATTAGCTATAGAAGCATGTTTCTTTGACATCATCTATCAATTTTCAGACATTTCCGAGGTGTAATGTAATAAGATAATGAAGAAGGAACATTTTACTTCATTATTAACTGAATGATAATTGAATGTTGGGTTGTGCTTTTCCTTGTAAAAAAAATACCGATGGTAGTCGGTAGCCATTTGTATCGACTTCGACCAAGACAAAATAAAAATTAAAAAAATGATATTGAAACACAGATGGTGCAAAAAAAAAGTAGTAAATTTCGAAGAATGTAGTTCTAACCTATATTAGCCAGAGAATGAGAAGAACGATATTGTGTACTGGTCTATATACGGGAGGGGGAGGGGTTAAATAGTTGTCCTAACATGTTCACTTTAAATCAATCAATCAATGCATAATCAATAATTTGTAATCATTTTTTTTTAAAAAAAATCGAATGTGTAAGGAAAAAAGCGTGCACATTCATAATTATATCATTCACTAATTACTTTGAAATTGATTCTAAAAAATCTTACAAATCTCTCTCATTTATCAAAGTAAAATGGGGTCATAATTTGTGATACCAAAACTTGCAAATTATATTTTGCAAGCCATATTTTGACATAATTTACACAAGTGAACATAACATGAAAATTAGATTTTGCAAGCTACGTTTGGAAGAATTTACACAATTTAAACATAACTAACAAAATATATTTTGCAAGCAATGTTTGATATAATTAACAGAAGTGAACATAACTAGCAAACTAAATTATGCAAGTCATGTTTTGAGAAAATTAACACAATATAAACAAAAGAATTAGAGGCCATATCGATGGTAGTCGGTGGAGGTTGGAAAAACAGACGGATAGGTTTTTCTTCTTGCTGACACCCCTTGCCTCTATGAAAATACAGTCACTGTCAGAATTGGCGAATCCAGCAGATTCACCATTGGAACCCGTGAATTTGCCGTCGGAATCCACTAAGAGAAAGACTGAAAGTAAAACCTTAGTGATGGTTTTGAGGATATCGATTTCGAGAAAGCTTGGAATGTCGAAGAGTCCAATGCCGCCGTGGTTATATTTGTTGACTCCTGTCACATCTTCAAATGAGCAGACTTGTTGATTGTGATCGTATTGACAAATTAGTGATTCTTGGAAGAAAGATTTGTTTTGTTGCTTCTAGAAGTTCAGAAACTCGAGATGAATTGGCAAAACTTCAAAGAATTGAGTTTAAAGTGAACCATGGATGACTGTACTTGAAGCAGTACAAGTTCAACAAAATTTGATTAATCTGCTGAGACAGTACGAAAATATTCCTGAATCGGTCCAAGAGGAAGATCTCCCTTTTTTTCAATCTATCATTGTTGGTTTTGACAGAATAGGACAGGCCCCTCAGATATTCTTGTTAACATCAAAGCTCCTAGAAACAAATCCGCTTGAAGGATATCCAAGAAGACCAGTTTCTAATGCATAGAAACCGATACTTGTGCCATTGGAATTGGTTGTGAGGCTTTAAAGGCACTTTGGACTTCCAATTTTCTTCCAAAGAAGAGGAAGATAGAAAAAGATAGAGTTCGAGAGTGGTTTTATGTTGAGGAGGAGTGGAAGGAGTTTGTAGATGAGGAGAGTTTTGTTACCAATCCACGTCCTTGCTTGACTGTTGAGGAAACTATTTATAGGTGTAAGAGGTGTGTTTTCTACTCTAGTAGCTGTGATGAAACTTTTGGACGTTATGTTGCAATATATATGATGGGTACGGGACAGAGGTTTCTTGTCCAAAAGGAGTGGATAAACACTTATTTGGAGAAGGAGAGTATGTTGCTTCCCCTAATGGACCCCCCCTCCCCCGGGCGAGAGACAAAGCAAAAATTGACAGACTTTCACACAGATCCTTGTCACTAAAGTATCAGGGCTGAACCGAGATAGCTGTTAACTGGTCACTAAATTTCCGGATTTTAATCCTCCTTTAGACCGAAAGCAAAACTCTTGCATGTGGGATCTTTTCTATGGTAAAAGAAATTGTCTAGTACAGCTGCTTTTATTTATGCATGAGAATAGAATTTTTTGAGGCTTTCGCTGCCAATGGGATGTGTTGTGACAACAGTTTTGGAGTCACTAGTAGCTATAGAAGCATGTTTCTTTGACATCATCTATCAGTTTTCAGACATTTCCGAGGTGTAATGTAATAACAGAATGAAGAAGGAACATTTTACTTCGTTATTAACTGAATGATAATTGAATGTTGGGCTGTGCTTTTCCTTGTGAAAAAAAAATACCGATGGTAATCGGTAGCCATTTATATCGAATTAGACCAAGACAAAATAAAAATTAAAAAAATGATATTGAAACAAAGAGGGCACAAAAAAAAAGTATTAAATTTCGAAAAATATAGTTCTAACATATATTAACTAAAGAATGAGAAGAACGATATTGTGTACTGGTCTTTATAGGTGGGGCGGGGGGTTATATAGTAGTCCTAAAATGTTTACTTTAAATCAATCAATTAATGCATACTCAATAATTTGTAATCATTTTTTTTAAAAAAAAAATCGAATATGTAAGGACAAAAGCGTCCACATTCATCATTATATCATTCACTAATTACTTTAAAATTGATTCAACAAAATCTTACAAATCTCACTCAAACCAAAGTATAAATGGTTAATAATTTGTGATACCATAACTAGAAAATTATATTTTGCAAGCCATGTTTTGACATAATTTACACAAGTGAACATAACATGAAAATTAGATTTTGCAAGCTATGTTTGGGAAGAATTTACACAATTTAAACATAACTTACAAAATATATTTTGCAAGTCATGTTTGATATAATTTATAGAAGTGAACGTAACTTGCAAACTAAATTATGCAAGTCGTGTTTTGAGAAAATTTACACAATATAAACAAAAGAATTAGTGGCCATATCGATGGTAGTCGGTGGAGGTTGGAAAAACGGACGGATAGGTTTTTCTTATTGCTGACACCCCTTGCCTCTATGAAAATACGGTCGCCGTCAAATTGGTGAATCCAGCGGACTGGATTCGCCATTGGAATCCGCAAATTCCCCGTCGGAATCCACTATGAGAAGGACTGAAAGTAAAACATCAGTGATGGTTTTGAGGATATCTGATTTCAAGAAAGCTTGGAATGTCGAAGAATCCAATGCCGCCGTGGTTATATTTGCCATTGTTGACTCCTGTCGCATCTTCAATTGAGCAGACTCGTTGATTGTGATCGTATTGACAAATTAGTGATTCTTGGAAGAAAGATTTGTTTTGTTGTTTCTAGAAATTCAGAAACTCGAGATGAATTGGCAAAACTTCTAATAACTGAGTTTAAAGTGAACCATGGTATGACTGTACTTGAAGCAGTACGAGTTGTTCAACAAAATTTGATTAATTTGCTAAGGCAGTACGAAAATATTCCTCAATCGGTCCAAGAGAAAGATCTCCCTTTTTTTCAATCTATCATTGTTGGTTTTGACAGAGTAGGACAGGCCCCTCAGATATTCTTTTTAACATCACAGCTCTTTGAAGCAAATCCCCTTAAAGGATATCCAAGAACACCGATTTCTAAATGCATAGAAACAGATACTTGTGCCATTGGAACTGGTTGTGAAACTTTTGAATCATTTTGGACTTCCAATTTTCTTCCAAAGAAGAAAAAGATAGATAAAGATAAAGTTCGAGAGTGGTTTTATGTTGAGGAGGAGTGGAAGGAGTGGAAGGAGTTTGCAGATGAGGAGAGTTTTGTCACCAATCCACGTCTTCGCTTGACTGTTGAGGAAGCTATTCATAGGTGTAATAGGTGTGTTTGCTACTCCAGTTGCCGTGATGAAACTTCAGGAGGTTATGTAGCAACAGACGTGATGGGTACGGGACAGAGGTTTCTTGTCCAAAAGGAGTGGATAAACACTTATTTGGAGAAGGAGAGTATGTTGCTTCCCCTAATGGACCCCCCCTCGGGCAAGAGACAAAGCAAAAATTGACAAAGACTTTCACAAAGATCCTTGTCACTAAAGTATCAGGGCTGAACCGAGGATAGCTGTTAACTGGTCACTAAATTTCCGGATTTTAATCCTCCTTTAGACCGAAAGCAAAACTCTTGCAGGTTGGATCTTTTCTATGGTAAAAGAAATTTTCTAGTACAACTGCTTTTATTTATGCCTGAGAATGGAATTTTTTGAGGCTTTCACTGCCAATGGGATGTCTTGTGGCAACAGTTTTGGAGTCACTAGTAGCTATAGAAGCATGTTTCTTTGACATCATCTATCAGTTTTCAGACATTTCCGAGGTGTAATGTAATAACAGAATGAAGAAGAAACATTTTACTTCGTTATTAACTGAATGATAATTGAATGTTGGCTGTACTTTTCCTTGTGAAAAAAAAAATACCGATGGTAATCGGTAGCCATTTGTATCGAATTAGACCAAGACAAAATAAAAATTAAAAAAAAATGATATTGAAACAAAGAGGGCACAAAAAAAAAGTATTAAATTTCGAAGAATATAGTTCTAACATATATTAACTGGAGAATGAGAAAAACGATATTGTGTACCTGTCTTTATAGGGGGTTATATAGTAGTCCTAACATGTTTACTTCAAAACAATCAATTAATGCATCATCAATAATTTTTAATCATTTTTTTTAAAAAAAATCGAATATGTAAGGAAAAAAGCAACCACATTCATCATTATATCATTCGCTAATTACTTTGAAATTGATCCTAAAACATCTTACAAATCTCTCTCAAATCAAAGTATAAATGGGTAATAATTTGTGATATTTTCTTGATTTATCCAAATCAAAATTAATGAGTCCAGATCAAAATTAATGCGTTGGACATTTTTATATTAAAAGACTTTTGGCGGGAAATGGGTTAGCAGGAGCTTGACACGTATACTTTTTTCCACAAACGTTTCTTGCTTTAATATAATATATAGATAATGGAACTATGAATATAGAGAGTGCATCAATTAATGGTGCGGCGCTATATATGGGGTTGTATGAAGGGTATTTGACGACATGAAATTAGGAAAAAGGAAAAGTAAATAGCTGAAGCTGACAAGATTGCAGTGAACTGGGTGAAGATAGGAGAGGATCAACCGAATACTCACTCAGCTCTAGGTTAGAATCATAGAGATCTCACAACAGAATTGGCTACATAACTTCTTCATGTGAAGCAAACAAGGGTGGAGCTCAATAAATGTACAACTTTTTCATGGTGGGTGTTGCAAAACGTACTTTTCTTAAAAATCATTGTAATTTTATTTTTTATACAATTTACTTTTCAACTAATTGTGCATAGATCTTTCTTTTAAAAAAAGATTTGTGAATAGAACTAGCAAGAATAATTTGAGAAATAAAATCATAGAAGAGTGTAGTGTTAGATTTTATTTCATCGAGGGTGTGAATTTAAAATTATCATTAATAGAAGTGGGACGTTGAACCACCCTCAATATTTATCTAAAGTTTCCAATTATCTGTGAACCTTAATGTTATTATAAAAATCATGTTATTATAAAAAAAATTTTAACAGATAAAATTCCCTTTTCAAATTAAAGAATTATCATTTCAATGAAAATGTGTTAGTATGATCCATTTATTTTTCATAATGATGAATTTGAAACCCCAGCCTTATGTTAATGAGCAAGTTGGTTTGGATACTGAAGAATCATCTCTCTCATTAGTTAACCTAAATGTGAGAAAATTGATATAGGATTAAGTAAAAAATAATTAAATAATGATTGCAAAACAGCTAAAGTAATAAAACTATTGCTAAAACAACTAAACAAGCGAACTTCGAAATTGCCTTTTTAAAATATCAAACTTTAATAAAAAGAAAAAAATGAGTAGGGTGGCATTGACATTAGCGAAAATGTCAAAAAAGATACTAATGGAGAAAAAAATAGATGAATGATATTCTTTAAGGGGTAAAAAATACTCCCATCCTCACATTTTAAATAAAAAATCACTGACATTGGATAAGTTTTCAAAGTAAAAATAAACTATTAGACAATAATGAGAAACAACTAAATCAAACGAACAAATGGGCAAAAAGAAATAAAAATAAAATAAGGAGACAATGCATCGTGTGTAAAAAAAAAGTGTTGAAGCAAAAATGACATAAATACAACAAACTAGTGGAAACGATTCCCACAAAAACTCCTTTCCTACTACCAATAAAATATAATAACCAACCAAGCCAACCAAACAAGCAAATATCAAAGAACTGATAAAGTAAAGTAGACGCACAAATTTACGTGAAAAATCCAAATTGGAAAAAATCACGGGACTGTAACAACAGTCAAATCTCCACTATCACAATAATAGGAAACAGTCTTCACCCATCGGTGGATACACGGGACTTCATCCAAAGGTGGATTACAACAATACTCTTCCACAACACACCTATCACAAAATAGGATTAGAAGAATGTCACCAAAAGAGAGTTAAACTGAAAATTAAGCTGGAGGAATAGTAGATCTTGTTGAGAGGAATACTCATGCAAACTTGCACCAATAACTGACTCTGTTTCGTTACCCAATCAAAGTCTGAAAGTGAAACACTTTCTTCCTGCAACGCCAAAACCCTAGAAACCCTAGCTTTCTCTCTTTTCTCTCGTGCACAAAGAATTTGCACGGCTGCCTTTTTGCTTGTTTGTCTCTCGGCCAAAAACCAAGCAAGCCAAGGCTTTTTATAAGCCACGGCTAAACCCAAAAAACCAAACCAAATTGGAGTTGGTTTTTTTTTTCTTTCCTTCGATCAAACCACTTATGTGGTCAAACGAGCTGAGCCTCTAATTGGAAGGATTAGGCCCAATAATCTCCCCCTTCACCTCAATTGGAGGGTAAAACTAAACCGGCTTTCTGCCTACAAAACGGGAGCTTCTCTCTACTCACAGTCTTCGTCAACATATCGGCACCGTTATTATCCATATGGATCTTCTCAAGAAACAAAGCCTTGGACGCCAACACATCTCGAATCCAATGATACCTCACATCAATATGTTTTGACCGCAAATGAAATGTGAAATTCTTAGCTAAGTGAAGAGCGCTCTGGTTATCACAATACACCACATATCTGTCTTTCTTCATGCCGAGCTCTTGTAGAAACTTCTGCAATCAAAGCGCTTCCTTAAAAGATTCGGTAGCTGCGATAAACTTTGCCTCTGTAGTAGACAAAGCAACACATTTTTGAAACCTACTCTGCCATGAAACTGCTCCCCCTCTATAAGTCATCAAGTAACGAGAAGTAGACTTCTGACCATCAAGGTCACCCGCCATGTCAACATCTGTATATCCATCCAACATGGTCTTTCCATTGTCAAAGCTAAGATTCAAACTGGAAGTACCCCTAAGATACCTAAGAATCCACTTCACAGTATTTCAATGCTCCTCACCAGGATTGGAGAGAAACCAACTAACAACACCAACTGCATGAGTGGTGAGTGATTATGTTATGTTGTCGTTGAATCACTTCCCCAAAAGAATATTTATAAACCTATTAGCTAGTGATAAGCAGGGTCGTTCCATAGGGATAGCAATCAACCACTCCAAATCTGATTAGTGCAGAAAAGAAAAAAAATGAGTTGAACAGATTGTCACTTGGAGAGTGAGAATAGTCACTTGACAGAGTGAAGAGGCAGAAGGGTCAATGACCTTCCTACCTTTATGATCCAGTTTTGATTCAATAGTTCCTGTAGTGTATGATTAGTTATTCGATCAGGCACTTATATTCTTTATGATTCCTTCCAGACAGAATAAAGAGTCCTAGATTACCTCTACCTTCCAGTCAGAGTATTTAATCTAAGTCATTGAGTTCTTAAATCCTTTATGATTGCCTATGCCATTCACCTAACTTCCGTTGATGTCTGGAACCGCAAGGTAGATTTCCTCCATTGTCATAGACTAGATTAAGCAGTTAGAAGGTTATGCGCCCCCTTCCAGATCTTTATAACCATGCAAGCACTTTTAATTAAATGGCCAAGTTAACTAAAAGATTAATTAAATCACTTATCTATGCGCAACATCTCATCAAGGAAACTGTATCAAAACCTGCAAATAAAGATAGTAGGGATTGAACTCTTAACTGAGTTAGCTACTCATGTTTCCTTCTGTGTTTCCTGTGATTACTTGCAACACCATTTCTTACCTGACAGCAGCAGCCAATCCATCAATTCAGCAGCATTAGTCACAGCAGATAAGTAGCAGATTGTAGCTGATGTTTTCCACATTTTCTCCCTCTTTCTCTTCTTCAACTTGCAGCAGCTATAACTTGCAGTGATGGCGAAGCAATTCCTTCCTTTGGCAGCAATAATTTGGCCTTGGCTCTTCCAAATTGACAGCAGCAGCAGCAACTTGGCAGCTGATTCTTCCAAGTTGTTATCATCTGTTGTCATTCTTCCTTCTTCAGCAAGGATTTTTCCACTTGTTCCAGCTCTGATTGACCTTCCAGCAGCTCAATTTCCAGCAACTTTCATTCCAGTCCCTTTTTATGCCTTTTTGGGCAATTTGGTCCCCATTTATGCTAATTTTCCACATTGCCCCCTAGAGATACATGAACTGCAAAATCACCCTAAAAGTAAACTAATCCTCATTAATTGACACTAAATTATGAGTATGATTAAGAAATGCCTGCAAAAAAGGTATATATTTTTGTGTTATCAGATACCCCCAAACTTGAAGTGTTGCTTGTGCTCAAGCAACAGACCCAAACTCAGAGTTATACTGATCCTCTAGCAAATCAATTCATGCTACATTTCTACTGACTTAAGACACAGAAGGACTGAGTCAGAGAGAAGAAGGGATATTTTTTAATTTTCATGGATAAAAAATGACAGTGATCGAAAAAGAATGTGGCTAAATGAACAGAAGTAAATGCAACATTGTATCAATGTTAGTCTCAGATTCAAGTCCCTCACTGGACAGATCATACACCATTGTTCATCATAGAAAATCAGTATCACAGTTCTTCAGTGTGTGTGT